TACCGCAAACACTCCGATGCAATGCCATCCAACTGTCAACTTTGATACAATGTATCACAAATTCTGTCAAAAATATCAAAACTTTGTCAACTGATAAAATCTTGCTAATACTATGATGAACATTTTCTTTGTTGACATATTTTTGATAACTTTGATAAGAATTGAGATACCGTATTTCCTCTAATAGAAGCCCACCCCGCGAGGTGCTTCGAAAAATAGAAGCCCACCCTCTAATAAAAGCAAATGTGCTTCTATTAGAGGAAATACGGTGATTGAGCTTAACGGGCAAAAATAGAGTGGCGTTATTTTAGATCATTTACGGTAATTTAACGTTGATAAAAAATAACAAGATTAAGTGAGAAACCAGCTAGAAATGGTAACCAGAAATTTCAAGAAAATGTATTTCTTGGAACTTCGAGAAAATCTTGAAATAAGCCTTTCTTAGGTTATAGATCAATATGAGTTATAACTCAATTCACTGAAATCAGCTCAAAACTTTTCGTACTAGAAGGTTCGAGTAATTCAATAAAAAGGCTTGAGAGCACAAAACAGAAGAAACCGAGCCGCCCATTTTCCGATTAATGGAGTCAAAAGAGCATTTAGATACCGAGAAAGAAGATGCTAATTGGAATTGAGTAAAAGCCTAAGTGTCAACGTCGGAGAAAAAGAAGAGGACTCTTAATCTGGGATAAGGAGAAGAGGAGGAGGAAAACAATTGGAGCAGAAGAAGAAGATGAATCTGTTTTAAGAGAAATTGAAAGAATTGGAGAATGTCGCTGTTGAAACATTCACGTAGACAAGATCATTGACACGTAAAGGACCACTGGAAGAGGAGACAGGAAGAGGAAATTTGAAATTCTAATTTTGGAATAAAAAAAGAATTGGAAGATTTTATGTGTTGATCGAGAGTTCAAACCGGGAACATTGAACATTCAGGAATGTGAGATTTTCAGAAAATTTTCAGATTTCGTGCAAGAATTCTGCGCATTGTTTAAAAATTTATAGAATTCGAGAAATTCAGATTCTCACGATACGGTAGTCTGTAGTTCTAAAAGTTAGTGAAAATTTGTTTTTGAAAACAGATTCTGGGATTCTGAGATTTCTGAAGTTCTAGGATTTTCAGGTTCTAGGATTCTGAGATTCTGATATTCTGAGGTTCTGAGATTCTGAGATTCCGGGATTCTGAGATTCTGATATTCTGAGATTCTAAGATTCTCAGATTTTGGGATTCTGGAGGTCTGAGATTTTGGGATTCTCGAGTTCCGATGTTCTGAGATTCCAAATTTCTGATTTTTCGAGTTTTTTCTTTTCCGAAATTTTGAATTTCTGAAATTTGGAATTTTCAGAGGATCGTCTTTTCAGAATCCAAGAGACACATTAATGGGAAATTCTAGATTTAAGAATACTCTGGAATTCCAAAATTCAGAATTTTGAAAATCTGGTTTTTTGGTTTCTCCTTGTATTAATTACAGTAATCCTATTACGTCTTTTTGTTGATGCTCTGTTTTTTTTTTGCTTTCAAAACATTTTTTTTTGAGTCTTCTGGAATCACTATTCTTGGAATCACATTAAAGATCTCTCACACAAAACTTTTATGTACAAATTTAAAAAGAACCCGAAAAAGGGAAAAATCAAAAACCATTTTTCTGGAATCCGGCTTCTTCTATTTTCAAAAAACCACTGAATCAACTTTTTTCTGCAAAAAGGGGAAAAAACATTTTCGATTAAACTTGAATTTCGAAAAAAGGCGTTAAAACATAAAAAGCGGGAAGAAAAAGTGGGCGTGGCTTATTTTTAGTCTGTTTTGTGAGGTCAGATGACGTTTCCGGGAGGCGTCGGAGAGAAAAAAAGACAAATGAAATTGAAAAGAAGAGAAATGGTGTCAGCTAAAAAGTTCAATCAGCTCTTCTTTAAACTTTGAGATACTGAGCGGTCGTTGAATTTCCAAAGGATTCTGAAGGATTTTGAAGAGGCTTCAAGTACCCAAAACGACGTCACGAATCTGGCTCAGGATTCGGGTTATATACGAAATCGTATACAACATATATATATTCTTTTTATGATTCTAGGATGACGATGATTCTGAATTTTGAGCTTTTTTTGCAGATTCAGATGACGTCAAAGAAGAGGATTCTGATATTAAAGATTTGTTTAGATTAGGGGAGGAAAAGAAAGAAAAGATAAGGATGGAGAAAGACCATGGATAAACACGAATAGAACACTTCCGGCTTCTTTAAGAAAATGGAAAAACGTGATTTCGAAATAAGATATTCTGAAGTTTAGAAATTCTGAAATTCTGAAATTCAGAAATTCGGAAATTCAGAAATTCAGAAATTCAGAAATTCAGAAATTCAGAAATTCAGAAATTCAGAAATTCAGAAAATTATTTCAAAAAAATTGAGACAAATTTCAGAGAATCGAAAAAATACAATTACTACCTTAACTCTCAAATTCCAAAAAATCTACCGTAATCCTCATTCAAAAAGCAAAACTACAGTAATCCTGAAGTGTTTTTTTAATTCACGTTACGCAATTAATCAATTAATCAATCAATATTAAATCACGTCCCCATCCTCCTGTCCACGATTGAAAAATTCCCCGTATTGAAAAAAATCATTACTCTGTGAAATTCCACCCGTTCAACTTTATTGTTGGATAATTTTCACAAGCCTTTTCTCTGGTAAAAAGCTCTATGCATACGCTGATTTTGGTTGTTTCATCCCTTTTGATCTTTTGATTAGTCGATTGCGAGAAAAGTACTAACAGGCCCTAAGGGTCGCCATGTTTTGGGGTTCATGGCTAGGTGGAATCCACTGAACGTCCCCCTTTTGCGAAAGACTAAATCAAAGATCGAAAAATTGGAATAAAAATTTGAAAAATATAAAATCGTATGCATGGTTTCTTACAAGGGAAGAGGAACTTTGGAAATTATCCAACAATGGTCCTCGGAGAACACCCTTTCATTTACTGAGCCTCTACGTGGCGAAAGGGATCAACAGACGAAAGTCTGGCTAATCAATACATTTTACTCAAAAACTTGTCTTTTCAGAGACTATTATCACTTCGAAAAGTTGAAAATCGTGGAAAATGTGTCCTAATATCAACTTTGAGCTCGATTACTCACACTTCTCTTTTTTTTAAACTATTTTATATATGCACTCTTCCCCTCATTAAGGTCTCAGCCGCTACATAAAACTTCCGTCCGACTGAAATAAAAACACGGAATGAACGTTTTTCATTTTTCAATTTGGATCCCATTTTTTGTTTAAAGAATGTCCCAAAAGCCAATAAAAAAGTTTTAAAGTGCTCCAGAAGTTTCCTGCAAGAAAAAAAACATTCTGAATTTAACGAATTTTCAGATGTACTTTGGAATCGAGCAACAAATCAAAAAAAAAATGAAATTGAGGAATTGCAAAAATCGATCTGAGAAAAAAACATCACCTCAGAACCCCTATTTGACTATTGAACGTCATGCTCCCCAACCGACCACTTGAGACTTTTTTACAGTTTTTTTGTTTTTTCGAAATTCTCAAGGATACTCGCCTACGCACTTCATTTTTGCATGTGCTTCTTTACTTTGGACCTTCAAATTCGGATTTCTGAATTTTTGTTAAATATTTTGGATTCCATGAATGATATAAAAAGTTGAATATCTGAACTTCTGAATTTCTGAATTTTTTCTTTTCCGAATTCCCGGATTTCAGAATTCCTTCAACTTCTCCAAAAGTTTTTTTTATTCTTCAAAAGTTGCAAGAAAAAAGAATCATCTATACATAGAAGAATTTCAATGAGTCTAGAGAAGAGTCATCAGTTAATTAATGAAATTTCATTCGAAATGGAATGCTCGTCCTTATAAACATTACTTCCGTTTTTCAATACACATGCTCGAAGATTCTGCAGACAACGCCTTTTTATTCAGAAGACCTCTGACGTCGCTTTTGGGCGGACGCCTTCTTATTTTTGGATAAGATCAAAGAGATGTAGTGGAGACAATTGAATTCAAGGAATAGCAATTAGTTTTGGAAGTTCAAGAGTTTTTATATTTCTTGCAAAGATGCAGACATCTCAGAATCTTAGAACCTCCGAATTTCAAAATCTCAGAATCTCAGAATCTCAGAATCTCAGAGTCTCAGAATCTCAGAATCTCAGAATCTCAGAATCTCAGAATCTCAGAATCTCAGAATCTCAGAATCTCAGAATCTCAGAATCTCAGAATCTCAGAATCTCAGAATCTCAGAATCTCAGAATCTCAGAATCTCAGAATCTCAGAATCTCAGAATCTCAGAATCTCAGAATCTCAGAATCTCAGAATCTCAGAATCTCAGAATCTCAGGATCTCGGAATATCAGAATTTCAGAATTCCAGGATTCCAGAATTTCAGAATTTCAGAATTTCAGAATTTCAGAATTTCAGAATTTCAGAATTTCAGAATTTCAGAATTTCAGAATTTCAGAATTTCAGAATTTCAGAATTTCAGAATTTCAGGATTTCAGAATTTCAGAATTTCAGAATTCAAAAAATGAAGCAAAACATGGAACCAACTTTTGAAAAAAGGTCGTACCACTATCAGACTCTGCAATTAAACTTTCAGGAAGATCAAATTAAATTTTAGCTTTCCAATTTTCTCATTTTACGATGACTCAAAAGAAAGAGGGAAAATTTAATTGATACTTCCGTTTCGGAAAAAAAAAGCAGGAAACTGTGGGTTGGGAGAAAAAAAGAAATCTGATAATTAAAAAAATAAACAGATCGCTTTGTTTTTTGAGAAAAGTGGTTCTGAAATATTTTTCAACAAAACTTTTGAATAAATAAATTATCTTTATAAGCATGAAAAAACAAAAATTTTCAAAAGAAAAATCAATCCAAATACAGGATATGAAAATTTGTTTGGTTTTCAGAAAAACGATATACAAAGAAAGGGCACAGAGACAGAAAGCAATTTTGATTCACAGGGAAAGTGGGGAGCATGAGGGATTTTGGAAATCTGGAAAAATGAAAAATCAAATTAGTTTATTGGCTTTGCAATTATTATTCTGGGTGACTGGTGGGACGTTTCCTCCATTTTTATTTTGGCTCAACCTTCTTGGCTTATCAGTTCCATCAGGGGTACAAACCAATAGTGGGGTCTTGGAGAATGCTGATAGAGGATTGCCTGGAAAGATAGGAAAATGTTGGTTTTTGAATTTAGAAAACTGGAAATTTTGGTATGACGACCGGAACTTCATGGCTACCGTATTTGCTCTAATAGCGGCTTATCTTATACGTGCACATAAAGCAATTATTCCTATCAGAGATATTAAAAAGATTTTCAACTATCAAATCGTTTATCATAACATCCGAAATATTTTATCAGTTGACAAATTTTTGATAACTCTCATGGGAACCGAAATAATTGAGCTTAAACTGTGGAGGCCCATTCGCTCTAATAGAAGCCCATTCAAACTGTAAAATTTGATCTCAATTAACTCGGTTCCTTGAAAAGATATCTAAAATTTGTTAACTAGGAAAATATTGCTGATATTCTGATAAACAAATTATCTGTTGACAAAATTGCTATATCTTTCAAACGAGCCGAAATAACTGAGATGTTATTTTCCTTACCATCCGACGGATTAGATCCTCCACCTCCAACAGGACCTCTCGGCGTGAATGCATTGATCATAACCGCAGCTGTACCCCTTCCAACTTTTGCTTCATTCGCTTGCAACACTCTCCTTCGTTTCTTTGGAAGTTTCGATCTGGAATTCCAATTTTTGAAGATTTTTGGAGAACAAAGTGTGTGTCGTGTGTTCGCTCGATCAATAAATTGGAGTTACAAAATGGAAAAATATTTTGTCGGGGAACATAACATGATTTAATATCAGTGATTACGTTATAATCAAGGTGTTTATAGTCTGGTTTTTTAGACATATTTTTTTCGTCACCAAATCCAAAACATGGAAAAAAATGGGAATGTGATCTTATAGAAAATTGGAAAGTAGTGGGGATTCGGGGGATTGAAGAAGAGTGCGGGATGGAAATTTTCGGAACTATAAAGTTTTCAATTTCCAGAATCTTGGAAACTATCAAGTTCTCGAAAATCAAAATTTCAGAATATTCCGAGTTTTTCGAATTTTTAAAAAGAAAATTTCCCACCGGAAGTTTTTATTTAATATGATTTTTCGCAATATTGAGATTGATCAGTTTTTTTCCTAATCATTTCGATCCTAATCTCTATTTGAAGAATTTTTTTGAATCAATTCGAGTCGAAATTTTACTCCAGAACATGGGATTTTTAGAAATTCAGAATTTATGAAGTTCCGGACAGTGTGGGGGCCCTTCTATTACAGGTTTCTTTAACAAACTTTTCAAACTCACCTAGCCTGTGCATGAGAGTAGAACATTGCAAAATTGGAAACTATAACTGGAACCGGAAGAGCAATAGTGAGCACTCCCATCAGAGCACAAACTGATCCAACCACCCGTCCTAAAGACGTTTGGGGCACCTTAAAACATTCCTTCCGTGAGCAAATACGCTCCATAGGAAAAGAGAACTCACCAAATCTCCAAAACCAATGGTACAAATCGTGATCACGGCCCACCACAATCCCACCGGAATCGATGAAAACTGGTTATTCTCATTGCGTTCGACTCGTTCCGCATAATAGACCAGTGCAGCAAATATTACAATACCCAAAAGAACAAAGAAAACTAGCAGAAATAGCTCTTGAGCTGAGGCTTTAAATGTTTGAATCAGGATTTTGAGTCCAGTGGAATGTTGAGTTAGTTTGAAGAGACGAAGAATTCGGATGATTGAGAAGAATTCTACAGAATCTCTATTGGATCCAGATAGGGCTCTATCGAGAGCCCAGTCGATGTAGAAAGATACTGTAGCGATGAAATCAATAATGTTGACTGGAGTTTTCAAGAATCGGCCCAGGTTTGGGCAAAAGACCATTCGGACGAGAAATTCTGCAGAGAACCAGATGTTACAAAAGAGTTCCACGTAGAAGAATGCGGGGTGAGCTCTGGAAAAATTCATATTTTGAATCTTATAATTTTAGAATCACAGAATCTCAGAATCTCAGAATCTCAGAATCTCAAAATCTCAGAATCTCAGAATCTCAGAATCTCAGAATCTCAGAATCTCAGAATCTCAGAATCTCAGAATCTCAAAATCTCAAAATCTCAGAATCTCAGAATTTCAGAAAATCAGAATCTCAGAATTTCAGAATCTCAGAATCTCAAGATCTCAGAATCTCAGAATCTCAGAATCTCAGAATTTCAGAACCTCAGAATTTCAGAATCTCTGAATCTCAGAATCTCAGAATCTCAAAATCTCAAAATCTCAGAATCTCAAGATCTCAGAATCTCAGAATCTCAGAATCTCAGAATCTCAGAATCTCAGAATCTCAGAATCTCAGAATCTCAGAATCTCAGAATCTCAGAATCTCAAAATCTCAAAATCTCAGAATCTCAGAATTTCAGAAAATCAGAATCTCAGAATTTCAGAATCTCAGAATCTCAAGATCTCAGAATCTCAGAATCTCAGAATCTTATAATTTTAGAATCACAGAATCTCAGAATCTCAGAATCTCAGAATCTCAAAATCTCAGAATCTCAGAATCTCAGAATCTCAGAATCTCAGAATCTCAGAATCTCAGAATCTCAGAATCTCAAAATCTCAAAATCTCAGAATCTCAGAATTTCAGAAAATCAGAATCTCAGAATTTCAGAATCTCAGAATCTCAAGATCTCAGAATCTCAGAATCTCAGAATCTCAGAATTTCAGAACCTCAGAATTTCAGAATCTCTGAATCTCAGAATCTCAGAATCTCAAAATCTCAAAATCTCAGAATCTCAGAATTTCAGAAAATCAGAATCTCAGAATTTCAGAATCTCAGAATCTCAAGATCTCAGAATCTCAGAATCTCAGAATCTCAGAATCTCAGAATCTCAGAATCTCAGAATCTCAGAATCTCAGAATCTCAGAATCTCAGAATCTCAAAATCTCAAAATCTCAGAATCTCAGAATTTCAGAAAATCAGAATCTCAGAATTTCAGAATCTCAGAATCTCAAGATCTCAGAATCTCAGAATCTCAGAATCTCAGAATTTCAGAACCTCAGAATTTCAGAATCTCAGAATCTCAGAATCTCAAAATCTCAAAATCTCAGAATCTCAGAATTTCAGAAAATCAGAATCTCAGAATTTCAGAATCTCAGAATCTCAAGATCTCAGAATCTCAGAATCTCAGAATCTCAGAATCTCAGAATCTCAGAATCTCAGAATCTCAAAATCTCAAAATCTCAGAATCTCAGAATTTCAGAAAATCAGAATCTCAGAATTTCAGAATCTCAGAATCTCAAGATCTCAGAATCTCAGAATCTCAGAATCTCAGAATTTCAGAACCTCAGAATTTCAGAACCTCAGAATTTCAGAATCTCAGAATCTCAGAATCTCAGAAGTTAAGAATCTCAGAACTTCAGAATCTCAAAATCTCAGATTTTCAAAACATTGAAACCTTGAAAGCTTGGGATTTTGAAATCTCAGAATTTCAGAGTTAAAAAATCTCAGAATCTCGGAAATCCCAGAATCTCAGAATTTCAGAATCCCAGAATCTCAGAATCTCAGAATCGTTTTTAGGCCGTTTAGCGTGGTGGCCTGGAAAAATTAGCTTGCGAAAGTTAGGCTACCATGGCCTAGAAAACACATCAGGTGTTGTTAGGTCCTTTCTGGATCATCAACTACGGTGGCCTAAAAAAATCATGATGGGAAAGTTAGGCCAACTAACCTCGTCGCCATTTTCCCCACATATATCGTGTTCAATTGAATTTTGCTCGGTCCATTCCCAACTCCGAATCCACTTCCAATCGGAATACTGCTCAAATTGCCCATATGTGTCGAGATGTCAATATCCGGAATCCGATAGTTCGGGTGAGTTTTCAAACAGAAGCACACAATTGAGATGATCACAAAGATGATATTGACGAGAGATACGCCTGGAAAATAGGTGGAAAAATCCTGGGTTTGTCAGTAGAGCGCATTTGCATAGTTAGGACTGTTTTGTTTTCCACACGGACAATTAAGGCTTCCATTCGGGCAGGAAATTAAACCGACTGACCGACCGCTAACCGGCGGTCGTCAATATTCGACCGACCGAAGTGGAAGCCTTGCGGTCAACTTAACGGAGAACTAGAGACGCACTACTAGTTTTCCAAGACAAAGTTTCAAAAAGCGATTTTCCAAAAACAAAATGTTAGTGATTATTATCAAAGCGAAAAATTTGCAGATAATTTCAGCCCGGTTTGCATGCAATTGAAGACGTGGACAACTGAGATGTTTCCAGAAAAAAAAAACTAAAAATGACACACATGAAATGAAAATTTTTTTGCAGTATTTTTGGGACAAAATTCTTTATCGATTTGAGACAAGTGGACACAATTATTTGAAGCATGTAGGCAAATGAAAAAATGAAAAATAAGAAAGAAAGTAGTAAATTTCCAATGAGAACCCGTTGAGAAACTTGTGCAAGAAAGTAATTTTGTAGTTTGTAGTTTTTGTAGTTTTCGTAGCCTTCGATTAAGCCATCAACTTTGCAGCAGAATTATCGTGGTTCGGAGGTCCGCCATTGGCATTTTTGAAATTCGCGGGTGGTTGGTTGAAAGTGGCCGATGAGCTTTTCTTTCGATGTTTCCCGTGATGAGATTTGACTCCGAGATGCATTGGTTTCACTTCGTGTGCCTTTAAATATTGGCATTATTGTAGTTTTTTTATTAGAACATTGGATTCGGAAGAATTCCCAGTATAGGAGGGCCGCCAAATGCCAAGTTTGAGCTAATTTTTCTTGGATCATGTGCCAGATATTTTTTTAAAGTCAACTAACAAAATCTTGCTGATATTATGATGAACAATTTATCAGTGGACAACTTTTCTCTATCTTTGACGAGAAACTAGATAAATTGACTCAAAGTTAAAAGTTAGGAATATCTCACCTGCAACACTCTCCTCCTCTTCTTTGGCAACTTTCCTCTAGCTTGAGAATGAGAATACAGATTTGAAAAATTAGACACAATTACTGGAACCGGTAGAGCAATTGTGAGTACTCCCATCAAAGCACAAAGGGATCCGACGAGCATTCCCAGGTAAGTTTTGGGCACCATATCACCGAAACCAACCGTTGAGATTGTCACCAACGACCTGGAAGTTGTGTTCTTTTTGTATGTTTCAGTCAACTTTTGGAATTTTCAGGATCCTAAAGCTCACTTCAGTTGACAAATTTCCAATCATTTTGAAAACTGTAGAGAGTGTAAAATAGACCTAGATTGAAAAATTTGCATTCACAGAATTTTTCGAAAATTCCAATTTTTTCAGATTTTACCGGTTTCCGAAGGGTACGCCGTTTTCAGAACATATTTGATCACAACTTTCTCAATTTTCTGAATTTTAGCTGAAGCACAGTTTGTTTAGTTTTTCACATTCCGAGCTTCAAAATGAGTATAAACACGACTAGGCTCCGCCCACTTTTTTTGGCTTTAAAGGCACATGGAGGTCCGAAAAAATGAAGAAAATGAAGAAGTATGGTTATGCTCATTCCGTAGCTCTTAACGTCAAAAACACAGAACCCACTGTGATTTTCAGCATCTTCACAGGGCCCTTCTATTGAAGGGCTTGTTTTAAGCCCAGCTTTACAAAAAGACTTACCACCAGAGCCCTAAAGGGATACTTGTGAACTGATTGTCCTTGTTCAATTGACTCCGTTCCGCATAATAAACCAATGCGGCAAAAATGACAATAGCTAAAACCACAAAGAATACCAGAAGACTCAATTCTTGAGCGGATGCCTGTAAACTTAGAAATATCAAAACTTTATAATTCTCAATTCCTCACCTTAAATGTCTGGATTAGAATTTTGAGTCCAGAAAAGTGTTGCGTCAATTTGAACAGCCTCAGCACACAAATCATGGATAGAAAGTCCAAAGTGACAAGGGATCCTGAAAATTTCGGAATTTCTAGAATTTCCCGAATTCTGAAACGATTTACCAGTCTGAATCAGAATGGCATGTAAGAGCGATTCAAAGAAGAATGCTCCCGTTGAGACGACGTCAATAATTGTTAGTGGAGACCTGACGAATTTGTGGAACGACGGACAGAAGATGCTTCTGATGAACTGGAAATTAGCAGACTTCAAAGCAAATGCGCTCTGTTGAAAACGAACCAATTCAAAAGTGAACCAGATGTTGCAGATGAGGTCCACATAAAAAAAATTCGGGTGCGGTGAGGTCACTGGTTTATCAGTTCCTATCGTTTTGTGATAGTTTTTGAATCCGTTCTCATCCACAACTCGCAGGGAGTAGAAGACTGGAAATTTGAAGTTTTTTATTCGGAATCTGAGAATTCAAAAATTCAGGAAACTTCTGAATTCAGGAACTTCAAAATTCAGGAACTTCAGATATCAAGAACTTAAGAATTCCGGATCTTCAGAGCTCACGAACTTCAGAATTCGAAAACTTCGGAATTCGGAAACTTCAAGAATTTCGATATTTCAAATTCCAAGAATCAAAGAATCCAAGAATCCAAGAATCCAAGAATCCAAGAATCCAAGAATTCAAGAATCCAAGAATCCAAGAATCCAAGAATCCAAGAATCCCAGAATCCAAGAATCCAAGAATCCAAGAATTCAAGAATCCAAGAATCCAAGAATCCAAGAATCCAAGAATCCCAGAATCCAAGAATCCAAGAATCCAAGAATTCAAGAATCAAAGAACTTCAGAATTTTTTCTAGATTATAGAATTCTTTTCCTGAATTTTCCAATTATTTTCAGTTTCAAAAACTCACCATCAATATCCGGAATTTGAAACGATGGATCGGTTTTCAGGATGAACGAGCACGTGGAAACCAAAATGAAAGCTACGGAGATGCATGAAATCGCCTGAATGAATGGAAAAACCGTGTCGATACCGGTTCTTCGGAAAACCAAAATCCATAATCAATGGGAAAGAAACAGGAGTAGAAGTGAATAGGAATTGAATAGTTTTCTCTTTTTTCGTATCTCTTTTCGTATTTTTTTTCAAACCAAAAAAACGAATCTAAGACATTGTTAGGTGTTAGGTTTATCACAACAGCATGCAGAATTAGAGATAGGTACTTGTCATAGCGTGCAACATTTGGGGATTTTGTTTGGGACTTGGGAGAAGCACATAAAATTTGGTTTTTGAAAAACTAACCCTTGCATATTTCGAACTGTATGGCTCATCGAATAGACTCCACACTCGCGGTTTTAATCTTTGCCATTGTGATAAGCTCCCCGAGTGAAAATCGTCTTCCCAACCGAATTTTTTCGCTATCTGGAAATGTGCAATTATAAGATTTTGAGATTTTGAAATTCCGAGGTTCTAAAGTTTAAAAATGTCAATATCTACGAATTTAAGATTCCGATATTCTGAGATTCTGAGATTCTTTTGATAATAATCGAAGAATATAATGTTGAAAATAGAAGGATTCTGGAAATCTATAACTCCGGGAACTTGAAAATATGAAACATGAAAAGAATCAAGATTTTCAGAGTTTAAGAATCTCTGAATTTTGGAAATCTAGAAATTCAAGATTCAGTATTTTCGAATTTTCGGAATATTAGAAATCTCAAAATCAAAAAATCTGATATTGTAAAAACATAGGATTCTGAAAGTCTGAAATTCCGAAAACTGGAAATCTGAAACACGAAAAAATTAAGAAACTCACAATTTCCGAATCTCGGAGTCTCCACAATTCAAAATTTTTGAATTTTAGAATCTCAGAATCCCAGAATCTCGGAATCTTGAAATTTCAGATTCTCGAAATCTTTGGAATCTTAAAATCTCGAAATCTTAGATACTTGGAATCTCAGGACCTCAGAATCTTAGAGTATCTGACACGCAGAATTTCAGATTTCGAATCTTCAGAATATTTTTTTTTTTCTGAATACTCGACTTTCAATGTTGTAACTTTTTCCAGCTTTCCATTTATGCCTTACCTCTTCCTGTGACGGTGGATCCCCATCCAAATCCAATGATTCAATTACTGCCAACGTCTCCTGTGTATCCCTATGCTGTGTATACGTCATCCAACAACACGGTTCCACCTGCAATAATATCCCAAAAATTACAGCGTTTTTTCAGCATTCAGAACAAGTATTACTCATTATTGTTCCTTTAATAACAAAAAACAAAATGACGACTTACTTGATTAGCGTCGAGTCCCCAAAACTCGAGTTCCTCTTCGAATAATGGACCACAAACGTTTGTGGGATAATGAAGTTTACCTGGAAGAGAAAAGCATATTTCAGGATTTTCTAGGTCAACTCACCAGTCCTATAATAGTTCATAATCATGGAAAACACTCCTGGATGTCGGTCGAAAAAGTATTCATTCAGCACTGGATCATAATTTGCCGTATTGGGAGTCAGTCTGGATAATCGAGTGGCCGGAATCTTTTTTAGGACGTGACTGTAGGTTTCGTGTCGGATGCCGCCCACATTTAGGATCACCCGATGTTCTGTGTCCATCCAGGACTGAAAATAAAAGTAGATATGAATAGTAAAAATTTGAAATTTGTTGTATAGCCTATGAATACCGTAATTCGTTTAATAGAAAATCATCAACTTCGAGCTTTGTTATCTCGATTCCTCTGAAAGATTTCAAAACACTGTCAACTGATAGAATATTTATCATAATATCACCAATATTTTATTAGTTGATAGATTGTTGATATATTTGATAGGAATTGAGATACTTGAGCTCAAAGTTAAAAATAAGGTGCCCTCCTATTACAGGCTTTAATGTCGGTATCTTATAGAAAAAGGCTTGCTTTTTGAGACCCAAATATTTTAAGCCAAAAATTTGATTTTTGAAGTTTTCAAAAAAAAAGTTTCTAACCCACAAAAAACGGAAAATGTGAAACCGGAAATGAACTTTTTCTGACTTCACTGAGTCGAAAAAAAGAAGGTGTCAGAGGTCAGAATCCAATAAAAATCCAAAAATTTTAAAATTTTAGAATTTTCGTGGTTTTTAGAATGCGAAGTTTGGGATTCTTGAACCAAATAATCTAATAGTAAGGAAGTCAGATTTTCGAGGCCGAGGATTCCGAAAATCGAAATTTCGAATTGGTAGAAATTCGAAAACTCAGACACTCAAATTTCGGAAATTCGAAAACTTTTTGACATCATAAAATTCGTAATTCAGACTTTTAGAATCTCAGAATCTCAGAATCTCAGAATCTCAGAATCTCAGAATCTCAGAATCTCAGAATCTCAGAATTTCAGAGTTTCAGTATTTTAGAATCTCAGAATCTCAGAGTTTCAGAATCTCAGAATCTCAGTATCTCAGAATCTCAGAATCTCAGAATCTCAGAATTTCAGAATCTCAGAATCTGAGAATCTCAGCATCTCAGAATCTGAGAATCTGAGAATCTCAGAATCTGAGAATCTCAGAATCTCAGAATCTCAGAATTTCAGAATCTGAGAATCTGAGAATCTCAGAATCTCAGAATCTCAGAATCTCAGAATCTCAGAATCTCAGAATCTCAGAATCTCAGAATCTCAGAATCTCAGAATCTCAGAATCTCAGAATCTCAGAATCTCAGAATCTTAAAATCCTAGAATCTTAGAACCTCAGAATCTCAGAATCTAAAAATCTTAGAATCTTAGAACCTCAGAATCTCAGAATCTCAGAATCACGGAATCACGGAATTTCTGAGTCTCTGAGTCTCTGAATCTCAGAATCTCAGAATCTCAGAATCTCAGAATCTCAAAATCTCAAAATCTCAGAATCTCAGAATCTCAGAACCTCAGAATCCCAAAATTTCAGAATCTCAAAATTTCAGAATCTCAGAATCTCAAAGTTTCAGAATCTCAGAATCTCAGAATTCCAGAATCCCAAAATTTCAGAATCTCAAAATTTCAGAATCTCAGAATCTCAAAGTTTCAGAATCTCAGAATCTCAGAATCCCAGAATCTCAGAATCTCAAAATCTCTGGACCTCAAAATTTGAGAATCTCAGAATCTCAGAAATTTGAACTTTCAAATTTTAAATTTTTCAATTCAGTACCTAGAATTCCTAATCAAAGATTAGAGAATCTACAATTCCGAAAACCAGGAAATGCAAAATGCAAGACAAAAAAATCTGTAAGTGACAGAATATCCACCTCTCTAAAACTTTGGAGGTCCCATACAACACAAAACTAGAGAAAACAAGAAAAAGAAAAAAGGAGAGAGGACATTTTTTGATATATGTATGCACAGGAAGTCGCCAATAAGCATACGTTTTGAGATGAATGGGGTCGAGAAAGTTTTGAAGCAAAAAGAGCACAAAAAGACAGAGAACTCTCTATATATTCTGTATCCGTTCCTGGTAGAGATTATCTATAGGGGTCCTTTGGGAGAAATTTCTGGAAGAGAAGAACGAGCAAATGAGCAAAAACAAAACAAGATAAAATTTTAGGAGGAATACAAAAAAGCTTGTTGAGGAGCTTGAGATAAGTGATGAGCAATTGGGAGCTTTGAAAGTAAATGTCTCAAAAAACAGAATTAAAAATAACTTAAAAATAATTCTCGGAATTTCAAACTTTCTGAAGTGAGTTTTGATTTTTCAAATTTTAGAGTAGTCAAACCAAAGGTTTAAAATTCGAAATTCGAAAATTTGAGAATTCCAGAAGTCGAAAAAAAATGAAGCCAGGAACATGAAAGTTTTGAATTATCGATCTCAAAACTTTATACATTCTCTGAAGTTTAAAATTCCGAAACTAAGATATTCAGAAACTCGAAAATTAAGAAATTCAGAAGATCTGAAATTTTGAAAAAATTCAGGAATTTAAAAACTCGTCAATTCAGAAACTCAGAATTTCAGAAATTCTGAATTTTAGAAAATCAGAAAGCCGGAAGTGCAGAAATTTTGAAATTCGAAAATTGAAAACTCAAAAATCTGAATCACAGAGTCTTTGAATTTTAGAATTTCGGAATCTTAGAAACTCCAAATCTCAGAATCCCAGAACGTCAAAATCTCAGAATCTCATAATCTTTCATTTTGTTAGAATTTTAGAATTTCTTAATCTCAAAATTCCTGAGTTTCAGAAATTCAAAAATACAAAAATTCAAAAAACCCCGGAAATTAAAAAATTCGGAAATTCAAAAATCCTGAAATTTCTTAATTTCTTAATTTCTGAAATTCAAAAATTCAGGGGTTCAAAAAATAGTATCGAAAAACTGGAAATCCTGAAATCCAAAATTCTCAAGTTCTTAAACACAGAAATTCTTGAATTAAAAATTTCAGCTTTTTCGTGTAAAATGTCAAAATATAGCATTTTTTTGGTTTGGAGTTTTAGACTCAACTATCTAAAACTCTAGCTGAAAATCTGAGATTTTATAAATACAAAAAACAAAATTCCAGAATTTAAAAATTTGGATTGCAGAATTTAGAAATTCTGAATACTATCTGGTTTCTAGCAAAACATTTAAGCTTTCAAAAATCCAAAAATTGAAAGTGCAGAATTCAAAAAGGATCCAAATTTTAAAACTTCAAGCTTTTTTAAAGTTAAAATTAAAATGGACTATTTTCATAAACTCAACATTCGGCTTTATTCTTAAAACCCTATGAATGGAAATTTTGGAAGTGGGGACCTCCTATAACAAGATCAAAAACTCTATGAAATTCCGGTACCGCGAGAACATTTCCGGGTGATTTAGTATGCGTGCAAGGTTAGGGAAGAAGGGAGAGAGAAATTCAAAAAGGAGCATCCCATGGAAAGAACTTTCCGGACAGCTAGAAGCTTAGAAACAACAGGGAAGAAGACAAATGATTCTGGATTGCTTAAACTTTTCAAAAAAAAAAGTAGTGGACATATGCCAGAAGGCCAGAAGCCAGAAAAAGAAAGGGGGTACCAGAGTAATGATGTTGCATAAAGTAATCCGGGTTTAGGAGAAGGGGGGAAACAGAATGATTTGAAAAACATGAAGAGTTAGAATGAAGAGGAAGAAGAAGACGTCACGTCTTCTCATTTCTATTAGGTAACGTCTTCTAAAACGTCTTCTGAAGTCAACGGCAAGTTTGTCCCCCCCTCCCACTAGTTGATGAGCTCCTAGGGTCTTTTCTTCTTCTTTTACTAGACAAGGGAGGAGCAGAAAAGCAAGAGAAGGATGCACAAAATGAGCTAAACTTTTTCCCGTTTTTTTGTTCAAGTCGTTTATTTTATTTCATTTTTTTCTCATCCTTTTGTTCATCTCTCTCACTCCTCAGCTATAAGTTTTTGATTAAGTGAATGGCTTCAAATGGTTCCAAGAGCATTACAGCTGAAAAATAAAAAAGGGGCGTGGCTTGGGAAATAAATTATAGTAGTGGGTAAGGGAGAGATTCCGAATCGAGATATGAAAAAAAATGGATGGGATCTTTTTTTTTCTGCCTCCTGATTCAATTTTTTTAAGAGACAAGGGTCACACAGAAGAAGAGCTCAGAAGAGCAGTCACTCTATCCAGGAAAAAGAAGAAAAAGAAGAGTAGAAAGAACGGGAAAGCAATTTTCAGAGTTAGGGCATATAGAAATATTTATGTGTCAGAGTTTCTTGTGCTCTTGGATGATGATGATGCTCAAACACTTTGGAAATAAGTGAGGAAGCACATCGTAAAGCTATCATAAAACAAAAAAAAACTGACGGGAGGGAAGAGAATGGGATGTGTTTTAGGAATGGGAATTTTTGAAAAAAGATTCAGAAGATCAGAATCTCGGGAATTCTCGAGAAAACAAATCATTCTGATAAAACTGAACATGTTTCAATTAAATTGCTCCACAAAGCAAGGAGATGCGAATTTTTAATTTAAATTTGAAAGTCGATAGACATCAAGGTTCTGAAAAATGATTTGAAACTTCCATGGGTCGGAATTTTCAGATTTTTTTAGTTTTGGACAGTGTTGAGCGGAATTCCGTCTTCCGTCTTTCGTGAAATTTTTTTCTTAAAAAATCGAAAATTATAAAAAAGTTCCAGGAACTCGGAAGTTTCGAATTCATGAAACTCAAAACTCAGAAAATCTTAAATTTTGAAAATCCAGAAATTCGAAAAATTGAAAAAATATGAATTTTTAGAAACTTTAGAAACGAATCAAATACGTTTTTTGCAAATATTAACCAAAACATCAAAAGAAATAAATAAGTCCTGTGTCAGCAAATCAAATAAAATTTAATAAAAGTTTTTCTTTCTCTAACCTAACCACTGAAACGGCAGCTGTCCAATAATCCGATTTTCTAGGTCCAAAAACAAAATTGGGTTAGTGTCCTATGCATTTGCCCTTTTCATATTTTGAAAGTTTGAACATAATAGTTGAAAAATAGACCATTAAGGATGGTGAGACAGCAAAAAATTGGGGGGGGGGGCAGTTTGGGGAACAAAATCGCGCCGAGGTTATGTAGGCCATTGGTTTTGCGCCCGCGTAGCTCAGCCGGTAGCAGCGATGTGATATGCTCCTTGTGGGTTCAACTTCTCCTGGGAAAAAATATGTTGAAAATTTTTTTAAATTCCTTTTAAGAAATCCATGACTTGATGTCGAAGACTAAAAGTAGGTCGCGTCCTCATTCTCATAAATCCATAAATCATTTTGGGCTCACGAGGTTCTTATCTACATAAAATGCTAATGAGGAACTTAAAGTAAAACGCTTTAAAGTAAAAAAAAACCACACCAAAATGACTTTTGATGTGGCAAATGGAACGATGAAAAACTAGGTGAGAAAATGAGAGGAGTTGGAGATGAAAAGGTATTTTGACAGCATTACACATTTGAGAATTGACAGAAGAAGTGTGTCGGTCTCCCAAGCCGCAGAAACAAAAATATCATCAACAGCGTGAGAAATGAGTTGATGATCAGGATGATAGGTGGACTGGAGTGAAAAATTGAGTGGAGTTTAGGGAAAAATGATAAGGAATTGGGGGATTTTGATAAAGGACATGGAACATCGTAGGTGTCTGGAATCGTGGAGTTCTCGATATTTTGATGTTTTAGAATTTTCTTGGAATCTTGGTATTTTGGTGAATTAGTAATTCTGAATCTTGCAAATACATCTCAGAAATTCAGAATCGTGATTTTAGAACTTTTAGGAGCATAACATTCTGAGTTCAAAAAATAGATTGCGGATTTCTCAAAAATTACGGTAACTGATTTGAGGAGAATTGTTGGTCTTTCCGGAATCTCAGAATCTCCAATTTTCAGAATTTCAAAAATTCAGAATCTCAGAAACTCCAACTCTCAAAATCTCAATGTCCCTGGATTTCTGAACTCGTGAATTCCGGAATGTCAGAATCTCAGAATCCCAGAATCCAAGGATCTCAGAATTTCAGAATCTCAGAACTTCAGGATATCAGAACTTTAGACATTGGAAATCAGATTCCCAGAATTTCAGAATCTCAGAATTCCAAAATGTCAAAACTTTCAAAATTTCTGAATCTCCGGCTTTCAGAATTTTAGAATGTCCAAATCTCAGAATATCAGAATCTCAGAATCTCCCAATCTCCGAATTTCATAATCTCCAAATCTAAAAATCTCAGAATCTTAGAATCTTAGAATTTCAGAATCTCAGAATCTCAAAATTTCGGAACCTCTGAAGTTCAGAATCTCATAATCTCAGAATGTCAGAATCTGAGAATCTCAGAACCTCAGAATCTCAAAACTGCAAAACCTCTGAATATCTGAATAAAATATAATTAAATTAGTCTTCATATTCTCCCAAAATGGACGTGGCTAATTAAACAGGTAAAAACTTTTCGAAGACATTTTTCCTTCTCCCACCAAAAAAGGAGTCAAAGTAAAGACAAAGGGTCATTTCAGAAGGAGACCTTTTCTCCATCTGAAGCCTCTTTTTTTCAAATATCAAATTTCAGTTAAGAATGAGCAATTTGGAGAAAAGACGAAATGTGGAGGAGTCTCCTCCACATTAGAGATTTCGCCTCCCATTGTGAATTCAATATGTTTCCTAATGGTTTTTAATCTCAGGTAGAGAAATGAGAAAAGAAATGTATAAATTCTGGAGGAATCAGAGGTTTTTGAGAGAGAGAGGGGGAGAGAGAGAGAGAGAGAGAGATAGGAAAGAAATGAGTAATGCTGAACAACGAAAGAGTCAGATTTCGTTTTTGTTCGGGAAACTCATGGGAGAGATAGGGGTTCATTTTCCCCACAGAAGTGTTCCTAAATTGAGAAAGGAGCAAAACATTGAAATTAGAATTTTTCGAAAAGGAGCATAGGGAAAAGGCAGATGGTTAATGTGTGTTTATTGGTCGGTTCTCTGTTTGGAACATTTTTCAATTAGATTGTTTGAAAAATCGTACATGTCTGGAGAGGAATCAGTCCATATCTGTCAATTCAATGTTTTAATTAGCAAATAGCCAAAAAGATTTTTAGAATGAATTGACCCAGATTGAGTCTCTAATTACCGGAAAAACTAACAGAATGCTCCCCAACCGTCAACTTTGAGGTACATTATTTCGATTTCCGTGAAAGATATCACAAATATGCCAACTGATAAAAAATTTACCATAATATCCCCGATATTTTATCAGTATGCAAAATTTTGATATCTTTTACAGGAACCGAGATAATTGAGCTCAAAGTTGACTGTATGGGTGACCTTCTGTTCCATGTTTTTTGTTAGAGGATATACGGTATGTTCAGAATATGGGATTTTGGCTTCTATTAATTCAAAAAGTTTACATTTCAGAAAGTGAGAGTTATTGGAAAATTACCACTTCAAGAATATAGTGTTTCATGAAAAAGGTTTTTGGGAATCGAAAAAAAATACTATGATAAATAAAAAGGAAATCTTACAGGTGATTTTTCGGAACACCTCTGGATTTTATGGCTTAAATTTCCAGCTGGCTATTGTACAGCTAATTTCAGGATAATAATAAATAAGCAGGATTCTACAATCGTAAAATTTCTGTAATCGGTTTCATTTTCCAAGTTTTCCGGTACAATTTTTCGATTTTCAAAATTTTTAAATAACTTTGAAAACTAGGAATTTCTTGAATTCTGTTGAAATCTGGAAAATTTGTAAAATTTATGAATTTTTCCAAAACTCTGGTTCATTTTTATTAATTTTTGAATAATCTTCATGATCATCAGCTGAAAATATTAGTTTGAAAGTCATGGGAATTTTACTTGTTTACTCGGAATCTTAAATTTTCTTCGGCTTTCCTTTAAATTTAGGAATCTGGAATTTTTCAAAAATACTCACCAATGACGTCTCATTCGAATTCTCCCGAGCCCTCCGATAAATCGAAGCGCGCATTTTTTCGGCACACAGATAGAATAGGAATACGGAGAAGGCAGAAGCACCAGAACCAGAAAATGAACCAGTTTAGAATGATAGGAGCGCGGTCCCTCGTCTGGTGGAGGAGCTCCAGGAGCTATTCTCCTTGTTTCGTTTTCCAAAAAGAGGGCACTCCTAGGGCTCTTCTTTTTTTTTGGAAGAGAGCAAAAAGAGCAAAAATACTAATTCCTGTCGTTTGTCTTTCGGACAAAAAAGAGACAAAGCAAGGAGGATTGGAATCGAAATTTTTTTTTTGAAATTTCCCTTTTTTCCTTTTCCCCATTAACACCACCCAAAAATGGGGGAAATTTCAAAGAGATTTTGGTGTGTGTTCGGATTCTGAATCTACTTTTATGACATGGAAGACGTCGTCTAATGGGATCCTTCCGATGGGATTGGAATAAGGAGAAGGAGAAGAAGAAATATGGGGAGAATAAGAATAAGAAGGAGAAGAAGGAAGCTTCAGTTACAGATAAAGAAAGTGCAGTTTGGAGGAAAATGGGGATGGATAGGATATCATGTTTCAGAAGAAGGAGAGCATCTCTCAGTGACACAAGAACATGTCATGTATCGGATAGCAAGAAGAAGGAGAAGAAGAAGAACTTTGGTAAGTTTCGAGTTTTTTGTTTGGTCTTCTCCTATCATTCAGATTTATTCTGGTTTTAGGGGAGAGGAGTTTGAAAGAGAAAAATGAAAAAAAAGGATGAAAAGATCAGAGTCCATGGAACAAGATATACAGACACACAGAAGGACAAAGTAATTTTCCAGATAGAAACCCAGAATAAAAAAGTCCAGAAGTTTAGGAAGTCATGAAGCCAGGTATTAGACAACCCAAGAGAGAAGGTTTTCAATTATTCAACGTTTGAAAATTCAAGATTTTTTGATATTGGTACAATCTCTTTTTTGAAGTTTTGGAAATTCTGAACTTTTCAGATTCTTGGTATTTTTTGAAATTCTGATATTTGGAATTTTCGAAAATTACAAAAGTTTCTGGGTTTTTCTGGGTTTTTCTTTTTTTTTTCTAAGTTTCTCATTCCCTGTAATGCCTGGAAAGAATCTCAAAATCCCAGAATCTCAAAACTTCTGAATCTCAAATTTTCAAAATCTCAAAATTTCAGAATCTCAGAATCCCAGAATCTCAAAACTTCTGAATGTCAAAATTTCAGAATCTCAAAATCTCAGAATCTTAGAATCTCAGAATCTTAGAATCTTAGAATCTCAGACTCTTCTAACTTCAAAATCTTAGAATCTCAGACTCTTCTAACTTCAAAATCTTAGAATCTCAGAATCTCAGAATCTCAGAATCTCAGAATCTCAGAATCTCAGAATCTCAGAATCTCAGAATCTCAGAATCTCAGAATCTCAGAATCTCATAATCTCAGAATCTCAGAATCTCAGAATCTCAGAATCTCAGAATTTCAGAATCTCAGAATCTCAGGAGTAAGAATTCTCGAACATGCGAGGCTCAGATTCTTACAAATTTTCCTCTGAAGTTTTGGAATTCTGAAATTTTCAAACTCATGAATTTTTCGATTTTTTAAATTTTTTATTGAATTTCTGATTTTTGGATTTCTTTTTGAATTTTTTGAATTTTCAGCATCTTCCGGAAATTTTGAACTATCCAGATTTTCTGGAACCCCAAAATTTCAGATTCTCAGAACTTCAGAACCTCGAATTCTCGGAATATCAGAATCTCATAATCTCAGAATCTCAGAATCTCAGAATCTCAGAATCTCAGAATCTCAGAATCTTAGAATCTTAGAATCTCAGAATCTCAGAATCTCAGAGTCTCAGAATCTCAGAATCTCAGAATCTCAGAATCTCAGAATCTCAGAATCTCAGAATCTCAGAATCTTAGAATCTCAGAATCTCAGAATCTCAGAATCACAGAATCTCAGAATCCCAAAACCTCAAACTTGTTAATTTCAAACATTCAGAATATCAGAATTTCCAGTAAATTGAGAAGAAGTGAAAACGAGAACCTTTAGAAAAATATCAAAAATCGTATTTTTAATCACACAAAAAAAAACAAAGGAACACCTGCATTTGTTTTTTCCAAAATGATTTTTTCCAGCATTTTTTTTTCAATCCACTTTCAAATTAAAATTTTCACTTACCTTTGTTTTCAGAAGCACCTTTTTCGGATGAATATCCCCGGCCATAGTATTTTCTTTTTCTAGAACAACTGCAACTTTGAATGACATCTCAAAAGAAAGAGAACAAAAAATGGAAGAAGAATAAAGAGTATTATTTTTTTTTTTCATAACGACCCCAAAAAACCAGAAGGAAATAACATATTTGGATCTTATATAGGGAAAAACGAGAGTAGAAAATTGGTGTAGTCAAAAAAATATGTTTTTCTATGTTGGCTTTATGGGTTACCCAGGGAAACCAAAGATGAGCCATAGAAAAACATATAAATCTACAGTGATCTTTTATGAGAGATGAAATTGAGCGTGATGTATAAAGACGGGAAATTTGGAAAGATTATGGACTAGTCCATAGAGCAAAGATACATGAAATATGAAGAGAATGTGAAATTTGTGTTCTCGAAATTCTGGAATTCCAGAATTCGGAATTCATTTAAAAATTTCTTTTCAAAAAATGAAGAAAAACAGTGTTCAAATCGTAGAAATAAGAAAAAAATTCAGAACATCTAAAAATAAACTCACGATCTTGAAAATTTTGAAATTTTGAACTTTGAAATTTTAGACGTTCAGAATATCAAAGTTTCTTAATTTCGAGATCTCATAATCTCAGAGTTTCAGGATCTCAGAATTTCAGAATCTAAGAATCTCAAAATTTCAGAATCTCACGGATTCATTGGATTTGAGGAATTCAGAAATTTGGAAATTCAGAAATTCGGAGATTTCAGAATCTTAGAATTTCAGAATCTCAGAATCTCAGAATCTCAGAATCTCAGAATCTCAGAATCTCAGAATCTCAGAATCTCAGAATCTCAGAATCTCAGAATCTCAGAATCTCAGAATCTCAGAATCTCAGAATCTCAGAATCTCAGAATCTCAGAATCTCGGAATCTCAGAATCTCAGAATCTCAGAAGCTCAGAAACTCAGAATCTCAGAATCTCAGAATCTCAGAATCTCAGAATCTCAGAAGCTCAGAAGCTCAGAATCTCAGAATCTCAGAATCTCAGAATCTCAGAATCTCAGAATCTCAGAATCTCAAAATCTCAGAATCTCAGAATCTCAGAATCTCAGAATCTCAGAATCTCAGAATCTCAGAATCTCAGAATTTCAGAGTCTCAGAATCTCAGAATCTCAGAATCTCAGAATCTCAGAATCTCAGAGTCTCAGAATCTCAGAATCTCAGAATCTCAAAATCTCAGAATCTCAGAATCTCAGAATCTCAGAATCTCAGAATCTCAGAATCTCAGAATCTCAGAATCTCAGAATCTCAGAATTTCAGTATCTCAGAATCTCAGAATCTCAAAATCTCAGAATCTCAGAATCTCAGAGTCTCAGAATCTCAGAATCTCAGAATCTCAAAATCTCAGAATCTCAGAGTCTCAGAATCTCAGAATCTCAGAATCTCAAAATCTCAGAATCTCAGAGTCTCAGAATCTCAGAATCTCAGAATCTCAGAATCTCAAAATCCCAAAATCTCAGAATCTCAGAATCTCAGAAACTCAGAATCTCAGAAACTCAGAATCTCAGAATCTCACGGTTTCATTAGATTAGAAAATTTTGTACTTTTTTCAGATTTCGAAGCGCATGGAGTTTTCAAAGTTTTTTTAAAAGTGAAAATCAAGTTTCAAGCTTCAAAATTAGTATAATCATTCAAAATTAGTATAATCATTCAAAATTAGTATAATCATTCAAAATTAGTATAATCACCAAGTTTGGTTAAAGATTAGTATATACTACGGTGATCCTAAAAACTGCTTCAAAATGGGTCAAACCTAGTCATGTTCACAGGTGATTCGCATGTTTTATTGAGTTCGCAAACGGATCCGTTTGGTCATGATTCACAATCGGATCGGATACGGAGCTCGCGAACGGACAGGATACGGATCAACCCGAATAATGTACTGCTATTTACTGAAAACGGTTCGCAAACGGTAAACTGCAAGTTTGATTAAATTTGGAGCAAAATTGACCAAGTTACGGTGGTTTTCATTTTTAGCTTTACAAAATACGAAATCACGGAACACCAGAAACCTAACATTCGAAATCTCAGCAATCTAGAATTTCGAAATGTTTCAATTTTATAGAACCAAATCAGCCTAATCTAAAAATTCTGCACAAGTTGTTG